CACTTCCACACGTCCTGTTGTCACAGGGAACCGCAAAGCAGGACTGGCTCATTTTTTCTGAGCCAGAAGATTATGGAAGCCCATCACCGCTTCCTCCTCAATCCAGCGATGACAAGTATGATGTCACCTCTAGAGACAGCCAAGCTTCAGACACCTCAGAGTTCATCTCTCGGGAGGGTGATGCAGAATCCATGCCAAGCAGTTCCATTGAGCAGTTGCTCTGGGATAAAGAGAGGTTCTCATCGCAGCTGGAACGCAGCATGGAAGGAATGGTAAGACACAGCACATCTCCATCAGGAGTGAGACAATCAGGAACGCAGCCGGTGACCTGCTCTCCTTATGAGTGTGGTGCCACAGTTTGTGAAAGAGAGTTAGGTCAGAAGAGGGAGCAGCAAGAGGAAGCTTCCCCCACGGCCAGAGATGCAGGAACCTGGTCCATGGCATCTTCGGAAGACCATGAGACCCAGAAAAAGATCTGCCGTGTGGGAAGCATAGTACAGGGTCATCTCCCAGAGCAGGAGAACCTTCTCAAACCTTCTGAAGTGGCAACCAACCCTCTGCTCAGGTCCCACGTCATCCAGAGAGCCTTGGGTTCCTTCATACTTCCTGCCTGTGTCATCTCCTCATATTCCACCTGTGAGGACGTGGAGGTGGGACTCATCCGGCAAGCAGGCAGAAAGCACCGGGAACAGTTGAGTGGCCAATTAGTTGAGGAAAAGCCAGTTCTTGAGAAAGAGAGAGAGTCCCCACCACAACAAAGACAGGGTGTTGGAAGCGGAAGACCACCGAGGCCTGCAGCTCCATGTACTGAAGAGCCTAAGGATCGGGCTTACAGGGACTTTCGGGAGCCATCTGCACCTCCTCCATCACCTAACCTGAGTACAACTACTCTGGACCAGCAGGACCATGAAGGTTCCCAGGTAACTGGTGAGGCCTCAAGTGAGGGTTCTGAACTCTCAAAGCTATCAAGCAAGAAGTTCTCAGCTGTATCTTCTCTGGAAGCAGGTAGTGAATTGCCAGCTCCCCCCTCCGATTGGCTTCGGTCAGAAACAGGAGCAGAGAGCGGGTATGAGGATGGCAGTAGTCTGGTCACGAGAGATGTTCCTCGGACACCACACCAGCAGTCAAGGCAACAAAGTCCAACGTCTTTAGAAGACCAATCCCAGTTCAGCACAGAATGTGAGTGGGACAGAGTAGGGGACTGGGCCACTGAAGACATGAATAGTGAAAGTCTCACCATGGAGGAGAGGTCCTCAGAAAGATCTTCAATGAAGGCTGATGCCAGCTCAAGATCACAGAGTAAAAGCGCTTCACCCAACTCCAGGATGGAGAAGAGCAAAGGCCTCTCTATTATTGGCTCGATTCTGGAGAGGAAGCTCTCCTTGAAAGAGGGGATGGATTTTTGGCTGCACAGCCAGGACTGCTGGTTGACTACCTGGACGGAGAAGGGGAGACATGGAGTCCCCAGTGAAGAAGAGGCAGCTGCAGGAAGAGCTGGTTTCTCTGGAGACATTGAGCGTGCTCTAGGAGGAGATGCTGCAGAGGGGTGGAGGGACCCCCATCCTGCACTTCAGAGTAGAGGAGAGACTTCCAGGGTAGGTGGGACTCATGTTCCCCAAAGACAGAAATTTCCAGCTGGACAACCAGGCTTCCACCACAGAGGCGACAATTCCACGGGCTCCTTCTCCACTCATTGTCAAGCGAGTGGGTCCTCCTCAGAGGACTACACCCAGGAAAAGATCCGGGGCCCAGAAGGAGCTTTGGCCTGGGATAGGACTGGGCTCAAGACCTCAACCTCGACATCCGTGGCCAGAAAGAGAAGAATTCCCAAGATCCAAGGCCTGGAAAGAGCAGCTGAGAGGGGGGCTGGCGGCAGGACGTGGGGACCCAGCAGAAGGAAAGCGAGGCCTGGCAAGAGGACCTTGGACACCGGTGGCCGTGAGGAGAGCTCCTCCAGCAGCAGAGAAGAGAGGCCCAGCAGTGGCACCTCCGGCAGTGAAGGGCAGCCAGCCGCTCGCACTCAAGGGCCAGCCAAAACAAGAGAGGGGAGACCATGCAGGAGAAGGGAGGAACCCCCTGGGCTTGAGAGGACCACCCACCAGCCCCTTCCTCAAGCAGAGCGGGACGACAGGGCTGGGCAGTCCACCACTTGGAAGCCCCCCCAAAACAGGGAGGGCTCCCCAGAAAGGGGCCTTTTAAGACTGAGCCCCCGAGAATGCCAGGCTGCAGGGAGGGAGGGGTCTCTCCCTGAGGACCCAGAAGGAGGCTGTGGGGTTTCTGAGGCCACAGGCCCCCCAGGCAGGCCAACGTGCCCCCTTCCCCATGGGGAGCAGTTCCGCAACCTGAAAGAAAGGATCCGGCTGAGGCGGAAGGAGCTTTGGAGCTCCCCAGAGAGCCAGGACGACAAGCCAGGATAGCTTTTCTTTGGAGCAGTTGTGGGTGTGTAAATAGTTTGTGTTATTTAAAAAATATCCATTAAACTTTTTAAATGTGCGCTTCAAAGCCAGGTTGAGATGGCCGTGCGTGTTGCATTTTGCCTCTTGGTGGCCTCTCTGGATGTTCAGAGTTTTACCTTGGGGGGGGGAGGTTCTCTTTGCCTCCCCTCCCTTTGCATCTCCCCTCGGCTTCTTTGTCCCTGGAGGGCTGCCCCTGATGTTCTCTCAAAGGGGGAAGAAACCTCTTTTCCAGTCACCCCCACTGAGTTTCGAAGCCTCTCCCAACGGCTCCTCGTTCTGTGTGCCTCGGGCACCCCAAATATCTGGGAATCTCCACGCCTTCCTATAATTCAGCGCCCCCACTTGGGAGTTGCTCCTGAAACAGGGGGCAGCAATAGCTTCACAGTGCTGTACAGCCCTCCCTAAGCAGCTTGCAGAGTCAGCCTGTTGCCCCCAACAATCTGGGTCCTCATTTTATCGACCTCAGAAGGATGGAAGGCTGAGTCAACCTTGAGCCGGTCAGGATCAAACTCCTGGATATGGGAATGGTGAGTTAGCCTACAACCCTGCATTCTAACCACTGTGTCCCCAAGAGTCAGAGGAAGGGAAAAGAGAGGAAAGGGAAAAGGAAAGAAGGAAAAGAGAGAGAGGGAGGGAGAAAGGAAGGAAAGAAGGAAAACATTGCAGTAGCACTTAAACTCATATACCTCTTCACAGTGCTTTACATAGTCCTCTCTAAGCAGTTTAGAGTCAGCCTCTTGCCCCCAACCATCTGGGTCCTCATTTAATCGATTTCAGAACAGAAGGATAGAAGGCTGAGTCAACCTTGAGCTGGTCAGGATCGAACTGCTGGCAGTGGGCAGAGTTAGCCTGCAATACTACATTCTAACCACTGCACCATCATAACTCGGTAACAAAATAACAGAGTTGGAAGGGAATTCCTCCTTAGTTCCAGGTTGCTTCTCTCCTTGATTAGTGACCACCCATTGCTTCTTGTCCTGCCTTCAGGGGCTTTGGACAATAGGTTGACCCCCTTCTTCTTTGGGGCAGCCCCTCAAATACTGGAAGACTGCTATCATGTCTCCCCAGTCCTTCTTTTCTCTAGACTGGACGTACCCAATTCCTGCAGCCCTTCTTTGTATGTTTTAGCCCGCAGTCCCCAAGGCAATGCTTCGGACCCCCACCTGCCTGCCCCTCCAAGCCCCTTCTCTTGGTTGTGGTGCCCCCTCCCTTCTGGGAAGACACCCCTCCCTTCTGGGGCTGAGATTGGCAAGCTGAGAAACCCCTGCTGTGGAGGATTGGGGGAGCCACAGTGTCATCCTTGGAGGAGGCCCCGCAACCGCCTCGGCAGGAAGTTTTTCCAAGAAGGCGAGGGTGGTGTGAAGATCTCTGCAAGCATTTGAGAGGAGGAGGAAGCGTCAGAGGAAATGCTTTCGAGGGGTTTAAAAATAACGATGCCATGTTTACGTTTCTCCTTATGTAAGCCCTGCAGGTGGACGTGATGGAACCTCTGAATTCAAATTTTTGATCTCACGAAGCCCCCCCTCCCGCCACCCAACTGCAAACCGAATTTTGTGAACAAGGCCACTCCTTGCAGAGGCCGCCACCACCACGGCCGGAGAGAGCCCACCGGCCACGGGAGAAAGTGGCCAAAAAGGGCTCATTGGGCTGGAAGCCACTGAGGAGGCAAAGTTGTCCACTCATTGGCCACAGAAGTGAGATCCTGGAGTCCCTGGCTTGTAATTTCTAAATTCAGAGCCCAGCATCTAGGGAAGAGCCCACATTTTTAGCTTCACTGGCCATTCTCTCTCTCTCTTTTTTTTTTACCCCAGCCCCCTCCCTTCCTCTCTTCCCCTCCCTCTCTCCCACCCCCTCTCCTCTCTCTTTCCTCTCTTCCCCTCCCTCTCTCCCACCCCCTCTCTCCTTTGTCTCTCTCTCTCTCTGTGTTGGGAAAGAGAGGCTTCGTTTTTAAAGAGACCCAAGTCTTGTCCCAAAGGGGCTTTTTCCAAAAGGCAACTGGACTTCCTTGATTTTTTTTTCCTTTGAAAACGTTTCACTTCTCATCCAAGAAGCTTCTTCAGGTTTTTTTCAAAGAAAAAAAAGGAAAAAGAAAGAAAGCCCAGTTGCTCCTTGAAAAAGGCACTTTTGGGAAAGCCTGACCTGGACGATCTCGAAAGACATAGGCTCAAGGGCTGAAAAAAATCACCTTCCCTTTTTTGCAACTGCCTTGCTTGGGGTGGTCCTGCCCAGGCAGGTGAGGCAGGTGGAGTCCAGGAAGAGGGTCTTGCCTGTGTTGCCCCCAACCCAGAGAAGATCCTGCCCCAGACAAGCCCTTGTGGCCCGGCCTTTTTGGCTTCCTTCTGCCCCTTGGCAGAGAGGCTGGCCGGCTGCATTTTGCAGATCTGGGCAGCCTGTGATGGTGTCTCCCGGGTGCATCTGGATCTTGAGGAACGTCCTGATGATCTCTTGAAACCCCTTTTAAGCCTTGTGCCAATGGCTGCTCGGTGGTGAATCTCTGAAAAATGTAAATTCTCCCCAATGGCCCCAGAGAAGATGCCAAGGACGTGCATCTCAATGGATTTATTGGGTTGGGCAGGAGAGGGTCACTGCTCAGCCTTGGGCTCTCTCACAGCCATCTTGGGGGTCCGGGGTGGGTGGGTATGTGGGGGAATGGAGAAGAGGTGGCAAAAGGAACCATGTTTCTCCTTCGGTGGTCACAGGGAGCTTCTGTCCAGAGGGCGGGAAGCTGCAGAGAAGAAAGATCGAGTCAGCCTCCAAGGAAAGAGCCACAGCACCTTACTTGTGGGCTTTAATGAGGACTAGCAACATGCTGGATGCAGACAGTCCTCAACTTTTGACCGGGGCTCTACCTGTACTGCTGACGGCCACTCTATCATCCCACGTGGAAAGTGTAAACCGTGTTAGACTGGCCATTAAAAGAAGAATTAAATTTGTCTCAACATCCAGAGCAGCGTTTCCCAATCTCGGAAACTTTAAGATGGCTGGACTTCAACTCCCAGAATTCCCCTGCCAGCTTAGTGGGATTTCTGGGAGTTGAAGTCCAGCCATCTTAAAGTTTCTGAGAGTGGGAAAAGCTGCTCTGGAGCCACAAACGTCACTCTGTGTGTGTGAGCAGGTGTGTGTGTAAACCCTCGTGGGCCCCACAGGGAGAACTCACAGGCGTTTTCCACTTTGCAAATATTTCTCTGCAGGATCCCTTGGGGGGTCATGCACGTCCGGGCACGGTCTTCCATTGTGTCCTGAAAAATAAAAGACGGACTGAGCAGGCTGGGGGTGGGTGGGGTGGAGTTCCCCCAGCTCGACCCCCACCACCTCTAAGACAGACCCCCCAACCCTCCAGGGCTCTGCTTCTGCCCCAAAGGCAGGAGGGAGGGGGCCGAAAGCACACTATTTCTCAAGGTGGACGAATGGGGGTGGGGGGGTCGGGGGGTTTTCTGTTGGGTGCCCCCCTGAGTTGAACTCCGAACCCCCCTTTTCTTTGGACTTGACCCGTGGGGAGAGAGAGAGACGGAATGAGGAAAGGACCATTTCATCCCCAATAAGAATCTTGCAAGGCCTTACAGAAAGTCCTCGGCTTATAACCATTCATTCAGTGACCGTTCCAAGCTACAACAGCACTGAAGAAAGTGGTTTAGGATTGTTCTTCACACTTACGACCGTTGGAGCACCCACCACTGTCCTATCCATGGTCATGTGATCAAAATTCAGACGCCTGGCAACTGGCGTGTACTTATGACGGTTGCAGCGGCCCAGGGTGGGTCACATGATCCCCATTTGCAACCTTCCCAGCGAAGTTAATTGGGGAAGCCGGATTCTCTTAACAACAATTTGGTTAACAATCGTGGCCAGAAAGGTCGTAAAATGGAGCGCAACTCACTTAACGTGTCTTGCTTAGCAGTGGAAATTTTGGGCTCAATTGCAGGCGTCAGTCGAGGACTTCCTGTGTTCAAGCAGGGGCAGAGACCCCACCAGCACCACTGCAACCCCAGGAAGGGAAGGACCCCAGGCTACCCCCCACCCCCTCTCGCAGGGCCTCCACAAACTTATGCAAAAAGGTCCCCCCCCATGTTTCAGCCACTACCCAGCTCCCCAAACACCACAAGCCCTCTGAAGTGAACTCAAAGATTCCTTTATGAGAAGTACTAGCAGCCCCAACAAAAAGTTTCTCTCTCACCGCAGGCTAAGAAGTCTGTCTGGCAGGGAGAAGAATAGTTGTCTGCCACATCTATTCATCTCCACCCCCTGCCTTTTATCCCCAGAGCTAGGAAGGGGCTTCTCTAGCAGCGGTGGCTCTTCCGTCCCAAGGACCGGCTCCACATCCACGCCTCAGGCACTGGACCCAGCCGTTCCTCCTCTTCCTCATCAGCCACCTCCAGACCTGGGGGCTGTTGACTCCCCACCTGAGGGCTGACGGATGGCCCAGGCTCTGCCTCTGTCCCTCTCTCTTTCTGCCAGTTCCATTCCCTCTTCCCCCTCGGAGCTCTCAGGTTGCCTTGAGGCTGGCCCCGACTCCCACGCCTCCTCCTCCTCCTCCTCCGATTCAGCTGCTGGAGGGGCCGGTGGCTGATAAGCCACAACACAACTTTTACCCCCCCCCAGCACCACCCAGTGGCCGCCCCGGTTGTTGCAGCCTTACGCTCCGTCGGTGGACCCTATCGGTTTGCTTTATCTTGATCATCTCGGCCGATGGCATCTCCTAGGAGGAAGAGCAAAGGGGAGAAGACTTTGTGAGTGAAAGCGCCCGAGAGGCATTTTTGCAACCTGCAATCTGATCTTTGGAAACCAAACACTCGCTGAGTTGTTGAAACGCAGCTGAGCAGGGAGGCTGAAAGCAGACGTGAGCCATAAACCACCGCCAGGCTTTTAGCCCTGCGAGCCTTTGCCAAAATCGGATCTGAGCTGGAAAGCTGGAACAATAGCTCTTGCGCATAAGTCAGCAGAGACCACCATTTATCCAGGATGGTACTATAAAGGATCTCCTGCTTGAGCAGGGCAGGGGGTTGGACTAGAAGACCTCCAGGGTCCCTTCCAACTCTATTCCTGCATGGCCGGCTGGGGAATTCTGGGAGTTGAAGTCCACAAATCTTAAAGTTGCCAACTTTGCTGCAGAACAAGATTCAAAATGCCCCCAACAGGCTGTAAGCAGGGCCTGGGCTCCATCCCTGGAGGTTTTTTAAAGAAGAGACTGGACAGCCAATTGTCCAGAATAGCATAGGGGCTCCTGACTGAGCAGGGGGTTGGACTAGAAGACCTCCAAGCTCCCTTTCAAGTCCTATTCTGTCCTGTCCTATCTTGTCCTGTCCCATCCTGTCCCATACCCACCCCACCCCACCCCGTTCCTTCAGACCAACGGCTGTTGAACCTCTTCTTAAAAACCTCCAGTGATGGAGCTCCCACAACCTCTGGAGAACGCTTGTGCCAGGCCTGCCTGCTGGACTGATGTGGAGGCTGCACTGAGCTCTGCCTGATGCCCTCAAGTCCTCTCTAGCTCTCCAAGGCCCTGGTGGTCCACAGGCCAGAGCCTCAGCCCCGACCTTCAGCAGAGGGACCCCGACAACGAGAGCCCTCAGTGCAGGGGACCTTCTCCATCTGCTGGCTGGGGCTGCGCCTTATTATGGCTGGGCTTAATGTATTAGGAAGATTCGAGTTGGTGGAACAAATTGGCTGCTGGCGGCTCCTTTCCATAATGACATGTTATTCCCAACCTCTCTTGCTCAAGTGGGGAAACAATGGCGCTTCACGCATTACCTGAACAGTTTAAGTGTTTTGTTTAGTAACCCATGATTTTGATGTGTGAGTGGGCCTCACACTGCTAAGCATAAGCTGGAGCTGATTGAAAGAGCTGATGATGAATTAATTGATAGATGCAGCTCATGGGTTTCAAGAAGGGAAGGCTACACTTAGAATCAAAAGGCTGGAAGGGACCTTGGAGGTCTTCCAGTTGACCCCCTGACCAAGGCAGGAGTACTCATCCTATCCCAGACAGATGCTTGTCCAATCTTTTCTTGAAGGGATGGAGCACCCACAATTCCATGAGGCAAGTTGTTCCATTGATCCATGCATCCATGCGTCCATCTTCCATCTTGTATGTCTATCTGTCTATCATATGCATCTTATCCGTCTCATAAAATCCTAGGGCCGGAAGGGACCTTAGAGGTCTTCTAGTCCAACCCCATGACCAGGTCAAGAGTCCTTATCCAATCTCAGCTAAAAGGTTGTCCAATCTTTTCTTGAAAACTTCCAGCAAGAGGTTTCCAACTTCCACTGATGGATCGTTCTGGCTGTCAGTTCATGCAACTCTCTTCTAAATTAACTCTCTTGACCTAGACCTTTCCCAAGGAGGTCCCAGCATCCAACCAGCATGAGCCCCAGCAGGCTCGTGGTTCCTTCCCTGAATCCCAACCGCTGCAGGGGAAGACCAGTAAGGAGAAGAATGGCCTCATTGTGGGGCAGGGCTGTTGCGGCGAAGCAACCATAAGGGGGACTGTCTCTAGGGCAGCAGGTGAAACTTCACCTGGAGAAGCAGGAGGTAGCCTGGCCTGGAGAAGGAAGTTCTGAGATCTCCACCCAGGGTGGACAAGGAGGACTTCTCCAGGCCAGGGACATCCTGACTGGCAATTTCCAGCAGGGTTGGGGTGAGGGATGTGTGTATGTTACAAGACTACTAGAGTGGGTTCACCCCTCGGCCATGAGTTCCTCTAAGGCAGGGGTTCTCCACCTTGGGGACTTTAAGAGGGGTGGACTTCAGCTCCCAGAACTCCTGTGGCTCCTGGCTGGGGAATTCTGGGAGTTGAAGTCCACCAGTCTTATGAAAGTGACCCAGGCTGGAGATTCCTGCTCTAAAATGAGAGCTGAGCTTTCTTGGATTTTGCTAATTAGCCAAAGGGGGAAAAAACCAGAAAGGAAATATACACAAAATGCCTGTCCATGAATTCTGGCTCATTTCCTTGGCTTCTTTTTTCCTCCTGCTCTCTACAGGAAGACGGAGCTTCATGTGGAGACCGGCTGCATTTGCTGCCTGCAAAGAATAATTGCTCTTCATGCTTAATTGACTCCTAAAAAAACATGGTGCGAATACTAATTAGAGGAAGAGAGTTGTAGGCACCAGGCTCCCCACGAGAGCATCTGCCTTGCTGAAACGCCGATGACTCAAGAAGGCCTTTGTTTCCGTGGTCTCCTGTGCTCGGAAATGTGGTTTTGGCCACGTTGCATGCCCTGCCACGGAAAAGACCCAGCTGTGTACTCAGTGCATGTTCATGAGTGAATGAAAATCCATCCACTCTTTGTCCAAAAGAATGGTCTAGATACAGGGGATATAGCCACTGAGCCCTTGTCATGGTCAGACCATTCTTTCCTTAGGCTGGACTTCCTGACCGCTACACCCCGCCACAGGGAGGCGGAACCGACCAGATAGTTCTGCCCCAGGCGCCTGATGGATCCTGATAGGTTCCAGATGGAGCTTGGGCCATTCTCTGAGACTCTGGCTCACGACTCGACGGAAGACCTGGTGGCCACCTGGGATAGGGCGGCCGCTGGTGCTTTAGATCAGGTCGTGTCTTTGTGGCCTCTGACCCGGCGCCGAATTAGCCGAGCTCCTTGGTTCTCCGAGGAGCTGAGGGAGATGAAGCGCCGGAAAAGACGCCTAGAGAGTAGTTGGAGGGCTAGTCGTTCTGGATCTGACCGAGCACTAGTGAGGTCTTATATCAAGACCTACTTAGTGGCGATAAAAGCGGCAAAGTGTAACTACTTTTCCCCTCTTATCGCATCGGCAGATAACCGCCCAGCTGTCCTGTTTAGGGTGACCTACTCCCTTCTCCACCTGGGAGCATGGGAAGACCCCTTGCAAGGGCGAGCTGAGGATTTTGTGTATTATCTGCACGATAAAATTGCTCAAATTTGGGAAGGCTTGGACTCTGACTGGGTGGGTTCAGGCGGGTTGTCTGAGGTGGATCTTGAGAATGTTATCTGGGATGAGTTTGAGTTTGTTTGTGGGGTGCTGCAAGGGTTGGTCCTCTCGCCTCTCCTATTCAACATTTATGTGAACTCCGCTGGGTGAGATCATCCGTGGTTTTGGGGTGCGGTGCCATCTGTACGCTGATGACGCTCAGCTGTACATCTCCACCCCAGACCACCCCAATGATGCCCTCGAAGTGATGTCCCGGTGCCTGGAGGCCGTGTGGGTCTGGACGGGGAGAAACAGGCTCCGATTCAACCCCTCCAAGACTGAGTGGCTGTGGCTGCCAGCATCCCGATATAGCCACCTGGTGCCATCGCTGGCTGTTGGGGGCGAGTCGTTGGCCCCCATGGAAAGGGCTCGCAACTTGGGCGTCCTCCTGGACGCACAGCTGTCTTTAGAAGAGCATATGACGGCTGTTGCCAGGGGGGCTTTTTATCAGGTTCTCCTGATACGCCAGTTGTGTCCCTTTCTGGATCGGGACTCCTTATGCACAGTCACTCATGCCCTCGTTACTTCCTGCATGGACTACTGTAATGCTCTCTACATGGGGCTCCCCTTGAGGAGTACCCGGAGGCTCCAACTGGTCCAGAATGCGGCCGCGCGGGTGATTATGGGGGCGACATGGCGCTCCTATGTAACACCTCTCCTGCGCGAGCTGCACTGGCTTCCGGTGGTCTTCCGGGTGCACTTCAAGGTGTTGGTGACCACCTTTAAAGCGCTCCATGGCTTAGGGCCCGGGTATTTACGAGACCACCTTCTGCCACCGATAACCTCCCACCGGCCAATCCGCTCCCACAGAGAGGGCCTCCTCAGGGTGCCATTGGTCAAGCAATGTTGACTGGTGACCCCCAGGGGGAGAGCCTTCTTTGTGGGGGCACCCGCCCTCTGGAACGAGCTACCCCCAGGGATACGACTGATCCCGGACCTCCGTACTTTCCGCTGGGCTCTGAAGACTTTCTTGTTTCAGCAAGCCGGGCTGGCTTAAAATTTTAATTGATTAATTTTATGGGTACGGGGTTTTAAAATTGGGAAGCCAAATTGATTTAATTATTTTTAAATTATTTTAATTTTCATATTGTATGTATTTTAATCCCGGCTGTTCACCGCCCTGAGTCCTTCGGGAGAAGGGCGGTGTAAAAATTTAATAAATAATAAATAATAATAATAAAATGGTTACAATGCAGCTGTCCATTTGCTCCCGTGTGTGACTCAACATTCGGCTTTGGTAGGTTGGCTGTTGATCTTAATTCAGAGACATCTGACATCTGCTGTGGGGCTGAAGAGTTTCCTGACCCAAGAATCCAAGAGGGGCTGGGAAGGTACACTCCTGTCTATCCCCAAGAAGAAGTAGCCCAGCTTCTGCCAACCATTGGCCCACGTGGGCTTGTTGGAATCCCTTCCTTCCTCTCTTCCCTTCCTTCTTCCTTCCTCCCACCTTCTCTCCCACCCTCTCAATCTTATCCTTCCTTCCTTCCTTCCTTCCTTCCTTCCTTCCTTCCTTCCTTCCTTCCTTCCTTCCTTCCTTCCTTCCTTCCATTACTCCTTCCTTCCTTCCCTTCTTTCTTCCTTCTTCCTCCCTCCCTTTGACTGATCTGACCATTGCTTGACCTTGGGCACATATCTCCCCATCCTTTCTCCCCGCGTCGTGTTTTTAGGCCATGCTGATAGAATTAAACCATTTCCTGGGTTTGCAAAGGCCTTCATCCTCATCAGTCTAGGTTCACACGGCATAGTTAACTACACCTGCCCAGGAGTTCATGAAGTACTACCCAAGGTTCGTGTGCTGTGGGAATCCACCTGGTGGAGAGGCTTGTATGACGGCAGTCACGGAATCTGATTCTGATGCTGATATTATTCAGCTTGGAGGCCACTCAGAACGCTCCACTTGGCCCAAGAAAGATGAAGGATGGAGAGGGCCTTTTGGCCCTGAGGTGTTGTAACAGGAGATGCAGCTCAGCTGACCAAGGTCTGTTTTTCCTTTTAGTGCTTTGTGGGAAATAGTAGGATCCCTTTTGCCAACTCATGCAGATAACAGATTATTCCTGCTGTTGTGCTTGTTCTCCTTCCTTGATGTATCTCATTTGTTGTTTATTTATTTATTGGTTCGATTTATATGCCGCCCTTTTCCGGAGACTCAGGGCGGCTTACAATGCATTAAGCAGTAGCTTCTGAAAGAATTTCAGTGTCCAGAGATGTCCAGGTTGGCTTCTGGCAACAGAAGGGCCTTCAGAGCAGCCTGTCTGGCCATCTCTCCCACAGGGAGCCTTGGTGAGGGCCGAGGAGACAGCCAGAGGGGCCAGCTGGTTGCTTCTGAGGTGGTGGCTCAGCTTGAGAGAAGACAAGAGGGCCAGGCATGTCTATGGAGATTTTCAATCATCTAGGTCATGGTTGTCCCAAAGGTCATGGTTTTCCAAAAGGCAAAAGGTCAACCATGTCCCAAATTGTCCCAAAAGCCATGGTTTTCCAAAAGGCAGTTGGACTTTCTTGTTTAGCTTGAAGACATTTCACTTCTCATCCAGGAACTTCTTCAGTTCTGACTGAATGGTGGAGAATTGTAGAAGGGTTGACATTCCTTGCAGTCATCTGGTTGTTAGCACTCTCTCTGAGAGTGCCACTAATGCCAAAGCTGAGGAGGAACTGAGGCTACTTGAAGAATCAGCAATGGACTTCTCTCTCTCTCTCTTGTCTTCTCTTCAGCTGTGCCTGATTTTCAGAGACCCTGTAGTTTTCTTGGCAAATTTTTCAGAATTTGTTTGCCATTGCCTCCTTCCTAGGGCTGAGAGACAGTGACTGGCCCAAGGTCATATAACTGGTTTTGTGTTCATGGGAGGTCTAGAACTCAGGGTCTTCCAGTTCCTTCCTTCCTTCCTTCCTTCCTTCCTTCCTTCCTTCCTTCCTTCCTTCCTTCCTTCCTTCCTTCCTATTCATTCATTCATTTAATTTCTATAGCCACCCAACTCAATCAAGTGACACTGGGTGGCTTACAATTCTAAAATTATAAAACAATTAAAAACAATAAAACAATAAAACAATAAAAGCTCCCAGAAAATAAAAACAGAAAGCTACCATGATGATTAATCAACTAAGAGTAATCCAGGAAACGGGACCCTGAATGCATTCTGAACCCCAGGCCTGGGTACACAGCCGTGTTTTTAACGCTTTGCGAAAGGCCAGCAGGGTGGGGGCCATTCTGAACTCGGAGGGGAGGATATTCCACAGAGCAGGAGCCACTGCAGAAAAGGCTCCGCCAGCCGACACTCTACAGCTGATGGGAGCTGCACCAGGCCCCAATCAGCTGGATCAACTTGATGCTTTCATTACTAGACCAAACTTTAGATAAGTTTGAAGTAAAAGTCGAAAAAAAACCAATATTGAAATTGAAGTCTCCAAGATGTTAATTGGGATCCAAGACAAAGCAGAGCTATCCTCCTGCAATTTTGCTTTGGTCCCCAACAAGACAAATTGCTTTTGCTGATTTATTTAATGCATTCTTTTCCAGCTTTAGGATCTGTTCTATTCAAAAGACTTTTTGCAGTGGGACCCCCAGGAAGTCTCAAAGACCGGGAGGAAGGGGCAGCACAACCTCCCTCAGCCCTCAAGCAACAGAAGCCAAGACAGGGAATAAATTGGCAGGACCAGAATAAGAGAGTTGGAAGGGACCTTACAGGTCTTCTAGTTCAACCCTAGTTCCAGTATTTGAGAGGCTGCCACAGAGAAAGGGGTCAACTTATTTTCCAAAGCACCAGAAGGCAAGACAAGAAACAACGGATGGAAACTAACCAAGGAGAGAAGCAACCTGGAACTAAGGAGAAACTTCCTTGCAGTGAGGACAATTAACCAAGTGGAACTGTTTGCCTCCAGTAGTTGTAGGTTCTCCATCACTGGAGGTTTTTAAGAAGAGACTGGACAGTCACCTGTTTGAAATGGTAGGGGTTCTCCTGCTTGAGCAGGGAGTTGGACTAGAAGACCTCCAAGGTCCCTTCCAGTTCTATTCTGATTGATTGAACCCCCTGCTCTAGTTGGAGACTCTATACCAGGGGTCTCCAACCTTGGCAACTTTAAGCCGGGAGGACTTCAAGCTGGCTGGGAAATTCTAGGAGTTGAAGTCCTCCAGGCTTAAAGTTGCCAAGGTTGGAGACCCTATAGGCTCTATACCATTTCAGACAAATGGCTGTCCAATCTCTTCTTGAAAACCTCCAGTGATGGAGAACCTATAATACTAAAGAAACTAGTATTATAAACTGCTGGTCTAGCCAAACAATTACTGATTAACTTCATGAAATTCTGGTTAAATATCACCCCTCTCTCCAAAAGAAGGGAAAAGGGAGACCCAGCACAGATTTCTGTCATCAATTCCCAGGAAGGCTGGAGAGCAGATCATGAAAAGGTCACTCAGTGAGGCCCTTGAAGACAATACAGCTGGATAACCCTCAGGAAAAGTTTTCAGGCTTAACTTGTCTTGTTTGTGATTGAGTTACTTTCTTCCTACATCGTGAGAATGCTGCATTTAGGCTGTATCCTGGCCTAAAGTTGAGCTTTTGATAAAGTGCTCCCGATTTCCAAAGCTAGGTAAGTGTGGGCTGGATGACATGACAGCTGAATAAAAACACAGCTGGCCTGAAATCCTCGCTGGGAGAATGAATGTGAGGAAGTTCCTTAGCGGTCCTCCATCAAACGGGAGAGATCCATCAAGGGGGGGGGGTCACGGGGATCGGCCCCTTCGCTTTGGTATTCTTCTTTTTTGGGTATGAATAATGACATGCAAAGAAGGAATATTGATTTGCCAGAAGATACAAAGTGAGTTGAGATAACTCCAGAGATAGAGAAATTAAATTAAAAAGAATCAAAACCATATTGGTAGAGAAATAGGCAGAGCGTAAAAAAAATGAAATTGTATAAAAGAAAAGGCAAATTAGGCACTCAAGGACACAGGGATGAAATACGTAACATGGGACGGAACCATCAGGCTTGGTAGCTTCTAACCGTTCTCAGAATAACAGTGGTTGTCCAACTGAATAAGAGCCACAGCAAAGAAGGCAAATGCATCTACAGTAAAGATGCGATATCTAAATTGTGGGAAGGAATTGTTCTGCTGATCTCCGCCTTGGTCAGACCCCACCTTGAGCCCCATGTCTTTTTCTGGGCATAAAGGACAGGAGGGAAATTCAAGCAGGTGCAGAGAAAGGCAGAAGTGGAAATCAGGAATAGGAACTAAGCTGCATGAAGGAGCCGAGGACCACTGAATGGGTAGGACAACTCTCAGGTCTGCCATCTTCGTCTTGGCGCCTTGCTGGCATCTTGCCATCCAAGGCTAGGAGGGAAGAGGGGGACATGAGGAGGGGAAACAAACGGTCAACCAACCTGCTTGCGTACGTGATGGAAAATTGGGAGGGGGAATGACAACTTGACGAATAGCAGGAGAGGTCGGAAGCGGTTTGTGCCAGTACCCAAGGCCATGCACCCTGAGAAAGAATGTGAATTACCCTAAACATCTCAGTGTTCTCAAAACACCTAAGCAGACTCTTATTGGCTGTAGGCAGACGGGTCATGGGGGGGGAGGGCTTGGATGCAGGGAAAGTTTCTGTATCTTTTGAGTGCGGGAAATTTAGTTCTAGCCTGACTCTAGTGCAACCAACATCTTTTAGGAAAACAACCTACCACTTCAACCAAATGGAGTCAAGGGTCTTTCTTTCCTGAGGGATCAGGACTGGGGCAGGCCTGACAATAACCCTGTTCAAAGTGATGTTGCATGGAATAAGGTCAGGATGGGTTTTGCCTTGTTCCAGGGGACAGAATGACAGAAGTCAGACTCCACCTGAATGTTACCAGATTTGGAGCCCCCTGGAGAGAAGAACCAATCACCTGGTTTGTGTGTGTATGTCTGGTTTGTGTTCCCCTTTATTGGGATGCATTTAGGAGGCAGCTAAACAGCCATATATCAGGGATGCTGGAATTTGGATTCCTGGGTTCCAGGATGCTGCAGGGTGGACAGTCTCGCTCACCAGCTGCATGCAAGACGCCCGCTCCCCAAATGCCAGCTCTCTTGTTTCCTTTCTCCCTTCTGGCTTTGGAGGGCAGCTGTCCATCCAGCCCCCAACTGCATGGAAGCTAACTCCCTTCTTACAGCACATGGAATATCATTGTAGATGACCAGGCTGAACCCGAGAGAGGGAGGGGTCAAGCACGTCATCAGTCTTGGGTCCCCTTGCGCCCATAAGAGATCTAAGCGCAGCCCTCCTTGAGTTGCGTTGACTCTTATCTATCACCCATTTGCCTTGCTCATTAAGTAGTCCAGATTCTCATAGAGAGCTAACGTGGCTTGTCCTCATGTGAACAGCCTTGGTCCCTGATTTCCTGCTCCTGACAATCGTTGCCCCCTTTGGGGCATTTCGCTCTGAGCCTCTCAAGGAGGAATCAGAAAACAAACCAAAATGAAATGGAAGATCTCCCTAGGGAGGAGGCCGAGATCTGCTCTTATGAACTTCCTCCACTTACCAGAATGTTCTTCTCGGTGCCCAGCCTGGACTTCCCCGGAGCCATCTCTGGCCTGGCCATACTTGGCACACGCGTTGTGTTGACCTGGAGAGGGAAGGAGGACGTGAGGGGATTGCCGCTGGGCAGGGGGAATCCACCCTTGCAGGAGTGGGGGGAGGGGCTTCCAGTCTCCTCCCTGGAGGGGGCAACCGCCAGGGGCTTCTACCTGATCGCTGACTCCTTGTTGCCTCAGCTGCTGCTCCCGAACGGCCTTCCTCTCCTGCATGGCTCTGGCCAGCTTCTTCTTCTAAGGAAGGGAATGAAAGGGGCTTAGTAATCTTGGGAGTGAGGCGGGGGGGGACCTTCTTGACCAAAGAGACTCCTGACCTCCTTTCAGGGCCAAGTTGGGCCAGTGGCAGTAATGGAGGAGCAACTACAGGTAGTCTTCAACTTACAACAATTCATTTAGTGACCATTTGAAGTTACAACGGCACTGAAAAAAGTGACCCATTACCATTTTTTCAAACTTACCACCACTGCAGAATCCCCACGGTCACATGATTAACATTCAGTGGCAACTGACTCATATTTATGACAGTTGCAGTGTCCCGGGGTCACCTGATCCCCTTTTGTGACCGTCTGACAATCAAAGTCAATGGGGAAGCCAGATTCAGTTAACTAACTTAACAATTCATTACCTTATTTTAACGACCCCATAATCCCTTGCGTGGTGGAGTTGGGCAACTGAATGGAGCTAGCAGGGTGTTTACTGGCCAGATGCCCTTCCTGTCACCAATGCGGAGTTTTGTTCAGCAGATACATTTTCATTGTGCCCAGAGAGAGAAATATTTGCCTCTACCTAGGATCAAACTCACAGCCTCCTGATTATGAGGCGAGAGCTCCACCTCTAGGCCACCACACCACTCCACTAATTTAACAATTACAGTGATACAATTAACAACTGTGGCAAGAAAGGTCATAACATGGGACAAAACTCCCTTAACAAATGTCTCACTTAGCAACAGTAACTGGACTCAATTGTGATCGTAAATTGAGGACTACCTGAATTGGATCCTGGGATAGAATTAGGGATGCGACTGCTTTGACTTCCGGGTTGCTGTTTGCCGCTGCCAGACGTTCCTTTGGGATCGTCAGCTTCCATCGCCTGTTAGAGCCGCCTTCACAACAGAATGGCGGCTCGAAAAAACTCCGTTTCCATGAGGAAACGGAGATAGAGCCGGCAGGGGTGGGTAGAACTCTCTGCGGAGTCCCAAAAGTTTTTTTTTTACTTTTGGGACGGAGCGGATGAGATGCCCCGTATCCCCAGCCGCCGCTCCGGGCTTTGGGAGACCTCTGCTGATGCAGAGCCAGGCGTCAAAAGCAAGCCTGCAAATTTAACAGACTACTCAAAGAAAATGTGAGGTGGACCTGTAATATTGAACCGCAAGTATTTTACTGATTTAAAAAAAAAAAAATTACTTAAGAGAGAGGAGGAAAAGAAAGAGGAAAAAAAGAAAGAAGCCTTTTAAAATGGCGTCGGCTGGAGGAGAGGCTGAAAGGGAAAGTCCTTCCGTTTTCTATTACTACAATGTAGCGGAATAAATACCACTGGCTACATTTGTAGACAAAACTTTGCTCCTGTGTCTTTTTCTCTTTTTTTTCCCCTTGGAGACCTGATATTGTTGTTGATTGGAAAGAAGTCCCCCTTTTTTTTTTTCTTGCTTTTTTTTTTTAACAAAGCCTGCCTGGGCGGAAACATGGCACTGAGACTCATAAAGTCAGATAAACAAGAAGGGGGGGGGGAATCCCCCCACCAACAACTTAAAGGAACAAGTTTTAATTCTTCAGTCTCAGAAACCTGACTTTAATATAATAGAATTTTTTATAGAGGAGATTGAAAGAAGGGAGGAGATTGTGAATCAGCAATTTGAAAAATTTAAGCAGGAAATTAAAGAATTGGTGAAATCTAAGTTTGATTTTTTGGAGAAAAAACTCTCAAAAGTGGTTAATGGTTTTACAGGATTTATGAAACAGTTGGACACAAATACTATTGTACTAGAGGCTAAAATGGAAGAAACTCAAGATAAATTGGACAATAGAATTCAAAAAATTGAAAATGATTTGACAAACACTCAAATCAGATAATAGCTTAGAAGAAAAACCTAAAATGGATGCTGATCAAAAGTATGGTAATGCAGAAAATCTGCAACAGAAGATTGAAAAAGAGATTTTAATGGTACAATATAATTTTACAGAATATGCGATAAGATTAAGAGGTTTGCAGGAAAATAATAGAGATGATTTAAGGAAAATATCTTCTGAATTTCTAGCTGGGATTCTAAAGGTTCAACCTGACGAAGTGTTTTGTAGGATCGACAGAGTTTATCGAATCAACTCCTGGACTGCTAAGCAAAGGCAATGGCCTAGAGATGTGGTGATTTATTTTACAGATAAGGAGATTAGGAATAATATCGTTCAAAACTCCTTCAATTCTAATTTGCAATTGTATGGAAGAAAGATTTGGATTTACAAGGAACTCCCACCTAAGATATTGATGGAAAGGAAGAAATTTGGTTTTCTGGTGAATGAGTTAAAAAAGAGAAATATCTCCTACAGGTGGGACGCCCCAGTGGGTATTATATTCAGATACCAGGGAGAAAGATATCAGCTAAATACTGTTGAAAGAGCGGAAGAATTTTATCAAAATAGGTTGAAAATGAACTTAACATCTCCAGGTATAATACAGGATAAGCAGAAGGAGCCGGAAATAAAGGTAAAATATCGAATTACAGAGACTGTACCAGATGAATTGCCTTTCGATTTATTGGATACCCCAGCTGGACTATCTACAAATTTGAGAGAAGAGGCATCTAATCTTAATGTGATGACTTATCAAGGCAAGGATAAACATGGAAACCAATTAGGGGATATACAAGGGATAAAAAAGAAATATGAGATACAAAAGCAAAACCAACAAGACCAATCTACAAAGCAGAATAAAAACCGACCAGATGATACACACTTTATAGAAAGGGAACCAGGATGGAAACCAAACCCACAAAAAGAAAAGAAAAAAAGAAATAGGTGGCATAAAAACAGAAATTTCTAATCAGGCAACAGTGAAGCCAGTGATTTTAAAATATGAACGATTATGTGTAAACACAGAAGAGGCGACGTATTGGTTAATATCATCCTGAGGTTTGTGGCAGATCTCTGCATGGCCGTAATCTGGGGACGTGAAACGAGCCTTAAACTGATGGATTTGAATTATTCATTTTGGAATTTCTTTTTGTGTTGATAAACATATTATATTATCTTGAACCACAAGGCAAGAGAATTATGCTGGGGCATGCAGAAGATCGGGTTGTTACCCACTATGTTGATGGGAATTAATAATCCTGATGAAACCCACAATTATTACTATATGGAATATAATTATAATGTCACTCGGGTGGTTGTTTTTACTTTTATACATATAAGAAGATATTTACTACTGATGGGGGCAGATATGATTGAAGATCCTGAATAAACTGTTCCACCAGTAAGCTATGTTACCCGATTATGGATGTTGGTTCTACCAATCCAGTGGAAAGACCTCAAAGAAGATACTATATGGATTATAAATTTAAAGTCATTGTCTTTTCTTTTTTTTTATTTAGATATAATGGAAAATATAGACATATATTTTTAAGAAGTGTGGGCAGTGAATCAAAGATGTTAAGAAATGTTGTCTATGGCAATTTTGCATGATAGTGGGTGAATAAGCTATTTAGTAGATTGATTAGTCTAAGAAAAGGGATTTTTAAGTGTTATATTTAGGGGAGTGGAGGAAATGGATAGAGTGGAATAAATGTTAAACTAGATTTTATGGGGAAGGCCGCTTTGGAATGCTATAGTAATATATATAGAAGATTAAATGTTAAAGTAGGACTTATCGTATAGTTTTAAAGTGGAGAAGTTATTTTATAATGTCATAGTATAATGTCTTTTTTTTTTCCTTTCTTTTCTCTTTTTTGATATGTATGGATAAAGGGGGATGTTATAATATTAATAATATTTTTAGTAAGTAAAGGTCAATATCCAGAGGAGGGAGTAAGTAATCTGTTATGAATTAGGTTTTTTTTTTGTTATGAAGAAGTCACAGGGGGGGATGGGTGGGGAGGGGGGGTTAGGGAGGGGGAGGGAGAGGGGGAAAAAAAAGGGGGAAAAATTTGTATTTGAAAACTTTTTCAATAAAAAAAAAAAGAATTAGGGATGCGACCTCCTTGCCCCATCTCCCCTCAGTTCCTGTGTCCTGCCAGCCTTAATTCCTGCACCCACGCCAGCTCCCTCAGCCTCCTGGCCCGGCCTGGCATACGCCATCTTGCCCTTCGCTGGGAGGTTCTGGCTGAGGTGGGAAGGCTGAAGGTCTGTCCCCAAGGCTCACCAGGTAGATGTTGTACTTCAGCAGCCGCTTCCGGGCATCTGAGACGCTTGAGCCCAGCTCCCTCAGTTTGGTCTTCATGTCAACCATCAGGTGGGCAGGAGGGTCCTGGTGGCCCTGGAGCTTGGTGACTTCGGGCAAGAGGGGCCCCAAGGCAGTATACAAAGCAGAAATGAAATTCCTGGAATCGGAACATCAGGAGAAGGTCCTGGGTGGCAGGTATCCCAGCCCAGCAGCAGATCCTGCAAGGGCCGAAGGAAGGCCCAGGGAAGGTCCAGAGCTGCTGGGCAGAGGCCCTCCTCTCCTTCTGTCCCCACCACTGACCCTGACCCAAAGTGGGTCTGCTCTGGACACTTGCAGGGCAGACACCCTACCCTGGGGCACATGGAGGCAGCATAACGATGTCAGTCTATGGAGATTCTCAATCATCCAGGTGATAGTGGTCCCCTCTGCTTTTTCAAGAGGCAACTGGACTTTCTGGTTTTTAGAACAGAATAGAGCTGGAGGGGACCTTGGAGATCTTCTAGTCCAGCCCCTTGCTCAAGCAGGAGAACCTATACCCTTTCAAAGAAATGACTGTCTAGTCTCTTCTTAAAAACCTCCAGTGGTGAAGGAATCCCAAAACCTCTGGAGGGAAGTCGTTCCACTGGTGAATTGTCCTCACATTAAGGAAGTTTCTCCTTAATTCCAGGTTGCTTCTCTCCTGGATTGGCTTCCACCTGTTGCTTCTTGTCCTGCCCTCTGGTGCTTTGGAGAATAATTTGACCCCCACTTCTTTGTGGCAGCCCCTCAAATGCTGGAATGCTGCTATCATGTCACTCCTAATTCTTCTTTACTTTAGACTAGCCAAACCCAAAACCTGCAGCAGTTCTTCATATGGTTTCTTTCTTTTCTTTGAAGACATTTCACTTCTCATCCAAGAAGCTTCTTCAGCTCTGTTATGAGAAGTGAAACGTCTTCAAAGAAAACCCAGAAAGTCCAGTTGCCACTTGGAAAAAAAATTGCCTTTGAGACATAATGATGACAGTTCTTCTGACTGTGGCTGTGCTGAGCAGGAGGAGGAGAGGGCCCACCTGTCCAGATTGGTGAACTTCCTGGATCCATCCGGTTGGCCGCTGAAGGACCTACAACGCTGGACCAAGGAAGCTCCACTGGCTCCCTCTCAGCTTGCCTGCACCGACCGGCTCTCTGACGTTGGACATTGTGTGAAAGATTGTTAATGTTTCTTTCTAGAATATATTTCTCTGTAAAACATTTCACTAGGATAATGTTTAAGAAGATTCTGTATTCTTCCAACAGTGAATCTGTTTTTATTCCAGGATGGGGAACCCAGGCAAGATGCTACTTCAGAGGTGAAATCCAATTTTTTCCCCTACCGGTTCTGGGGGCATGGTTTGGTAGGTATGGCAGGGGAAGGATACTGCAAAATCTCCATTCCCACCCCACTCTGGGGCCAGCCAGAGGTGGTATTTGCCGGTTCTCTGAACTACTCAAAATTTCTGCTGCCGGTTCTCCAGAACCTGTCAGAACCTGCTGGATTTCACCCCTGTGCCACTTGCAATACAGGAGGCTCTTAAGGTGGGTGAAAGAGATGCGATATATGCTCTGAATAGGCAGGATGAAATTGTCCTTCAAAGGAACGCCTGAAACAAACCACCTAGCCAGGTGCCCTGACGCACGGCCAGTCCCATGGAGGAGGGCCAGCCCTCGGTGGCAGTTGGGGGGTGGGGTCCCTGCTGGCCATGACTCCCGTAAGGGGCCCAGTCACTCTGGCTCAGCCTAACCTACCTCACAAGGTCAGGAGAAGGATAACTGAAGGTAGACCTGGAAGACCCAAAGGTGCTTTTCCAAAGGCAGCTGGACATCCTTGATTTTCTTCTTTGAAGACGTTTTGCTTCTCATCCAAGAAGCTTCTTCAGTTCTGAAGAGAAGCGAAACGTTTTCAAGGAAAAAAAAGAAAAAAGCCCAGCTGCCTTTTGGAAAAGCATCCTTAGGACAACCATGACCTGGATGATAGAGCATCTCCATAGATGAGACCTGGGAGAAAAACGTTGCTTGCTGTCCCCAGGAAGAAGGGGGCAGATGACGGCCTCCAAGCAATCTCACGGGGATCCATGGCTGCAGCAGCCTCCAGATCCCCCACAGCTGGCTGGCCTTGGAGAGCCCATCCCCCCTTAGCTGACTGCTGGGACGGCCCTGCCTTTCCCCCTGCAGCCAAGAGCCCCTCTCGCGAGGGGAGACACTTACAGGGTCTCCTCATCCAGCTCCTCTTCGCCATAGTTGACGTGGTCACTCATGGAACATCGAGGCTCTACTGAAAGAGAAGTGGGGAGAGTGAGACTGGCAGCTCTGAGGGCTTGGGGGGGGAGATAAGAGTTGGGGGGCTGGGGGTGCAGCTCCCCAAGAGCAGACCACCCACCCTGTGGAAGGAGAGTGACATTAGAAGAGATTCCCCGTTTGACTGACTGACTGATTCATTCATTACAGGTAGTCCTTGACTTACGTCCACGATGGAATCCAAAACTTCTGTTGCTAAGCGAGACAGGTATTGTGAATTTTGCCCTGTTTTACAACCTTTCCAGCCAGATCTGTTAAGTGAATCGCTGCAGTGGTCAAGTTAGGAACACGGCCGTTAAGCGAGTCTGGCTTCCCCATTGACTTTGCTTGTCAGAAGGTCGCAAAAGGGGATCACAGGACTCCAGGGCACTGCGACCGTCATAAATATGAGTCAGTGGCCAAGCGTCTGAGTTTTGATCATGTGACCACAGGGATGCTGCCATGGTCATAAGTCTGAAAAATGGTTATAAGTCACTTTTTTCAGTGCCATTGTAACTTTGAATGGCCACTAAACGAACTGTTGTAAGTCGAGGACTCCCTGTAGTTCAGTCAAAGGTAGAGGCTGCTCGATCCCAAATGAAGATGAGCCCAGAAGAGAAACTCTTGGTGAATAAACGTTCCCTCCCCCCCCCCTCTCTCTGATGGCTGCCCACCCTGCAAGGGGCTCTGGGAGTATTTTCTCTCATTCTCCTCCTGGACCAGGTCTGGCTGCTGCCCCAATTCTGGCCTTGCCACGAACGGCTGAGCTGCCCTGCATTGCCCGGAGGTGGCACTGTTGGTGCCCGTGGCTGCTCTCTGGCACTGAGCCAGCTCTGCCCCATCCACAGAAGGTTGATTCTCCCAGTCAGGAGCAGCAGAGAGGAGGGGCTATTGTCCATGCCTGGCTGGGCCCCCAAGTATTCCTAACAGATTAACAGTTGGAAGGGACCTTGTAGGTCATCTAGTCCAACCCCCCCGCCCAAGCAGTAGACCCTACACCATTTCTGGCAGTCTCTTCTTGAAAGCCTCCAGTGATGAAGCTCCCAGAACCTCTGAAGGCAACTTCTGTGGATTGTTCGTTCTCCCTGTCAGGAAATTCCTCCTTATTCCCAGGTTGAACCTCTCCTTGTTCAGTTTCCATCCATTGTTCCTTGTCTGGCCTTCAGGTGGATTGGAGAATAGCTTGACCCCTTTCCTCCTCTCTGGGGCAGCCCCTCAGATACTGGAACAAATACTATCCTGTCTCCCCTGGTCCTTCTCTTCACTAGACTAGCCAGGCCCAGTTCCGATCATCCCTTGGCAGTTGCCCTGAAGGAGGCCAAGAGGCCATATGGGCCTGCCTGGGCTCCAGACCAGCTGCCTTCTCCCCCACTGACCCCTTTGCCCTTCATCCCAGGGAGCAGCCTGAGGGGGGGGGGAGTTCTTACCTTGGAGATTTGAGGAGACGGAGCCTCTGCTGTCCATGGCCTTGGCGGCTGAAAGGCTGGGAAGGAGAGAGAGAAGCCGGATGAACCTGCGGCTGAAGGGGCAGGGGGAGGCTGGGTCTGGCTCTCAGGGGCCCAGGAAGGGCCTGCACCCTGGCCCAGGCATCTGGGGTGGGTGGGTGGCTCCATAAGTCCTCCCCCACAATCCCTAATGTTGAAGCCTCTCACAATCTGGGAGGCTCCAACCCCACGTTTTATGCAGGGGCAAATTTCCTCTGGGCTTTTATTTCATCAGAAAAAGTGGAAGATCTTCCTTCCTTCCTTCCTTCCTTCCTTCCTTCCTTCCTTCCTTCCTTCCTTCCTTCCTTCCTTCCTCTCCCACTCCCTTGCATCTCCCTCCCATCCCCTCCCTCCCTTCCTCCCTCCCTCCTTCCTTTCTTCTTTCCTTCTTTCCTTCCTTCCCTCCCTCCCTCCCTTCCTCTCCCCTCCCTTGCATCTCCCTCCCATCCCCTCCCTCCCTTCCTCCCTCCCTCCTTCCTTCCTTCTTTCCTTCTTTCCTTCCTTCCCTCCCTCCCTTCCTCTCCCCTCCCTTGCATCTCCCTCCCCTCCCCTCCCTCCCTCCCTCCTACCTCCCTCTCCCTCCGATTCCCTCCCTCCCTCCCTTCCTTCCTTCCTTCCTTCCTTCCTTCTTTCACACTGTCATTTTCAACTGGCGGTCAATGCCGCAGGGCTCCTTCACATCTCCACTAAACTCTCTGGCTCTGTGCACATATCTGTGCTATGCACAGTGTTTTCTAAAATGCTTTTATTTGGGAATCCTTCCCTCGTTTCTGTTTTGGCTCCCGTTCCGCTAACCGCTAGAGGGGGTGATTTATTCTCATCCTTCCGAAGGCACATAAGCCGGCGTATTAAATGACAGGAATTAAAAACCTGAGTAAAACAGCCTCATCCCAAGAGCAAACCATTAGAAAAAGCAGGAGAGAAAGGCGGGTCAGAGCTATTAATTAAGAGGCAACTTGGCCAGCGTCCACCATTTTTCCCCTCCTAACTCTGAAAAACCTGCAGCCTGTCAGTTCCCCTTTTCTTAACACCAGGACTCTCGCAGCCGTTTCCGTAGCCAACATTGTGTCTCCTTAATCTTCCCAGCAGCATTGTGATGTCAAGCGCTAATTGTGAGTTCTTGGCTTGTCATCCAGCCATGGAGCTCTTTGTGGGAGCCCTGTGATTTGCGTGTTCAACTCTTCCTAAACCTAAGCGATTTTGGTTCCATTTTAAAGTGATGCGGAGGACAGAGAGGCAGAGAGAGAGCGAAAAAAGAGCCGCCTCTGGTGTGGCACCAGCAGAGGGCAGTGCGGGAGAAAGTTTCTCAGGGCTGGACCACACAGGTAGACCATCTCAGAAGCATCTGGGAGGCCTCAGAGGAGGACCCAGAGGGGCCAGCTGCGTTGGGCCCCTTCCCCTCCTAAACGTTTTGGGAAGTATTGGGGCACCTCCTTCCACGCTTCTGTGAAAATTGGGTGAACACTTATCCACACCACCCATTTCCCAACTTCTCCACAAGCTTCTCCTCCTCCTCCTCCGAGATACAATCTCCAGCTCACACCACTGGCCATAGTGGCCACCAGCATTTAAAATGGGGGTTCCTCTCACCAGAGCGCCTTCCCTTTGCTGTCCTTCAGGTTCCTATTGATTTGTGAAGTTCTATTTGTTTTGGGTTGCCAGCATCAGCCAACTGGCTTCAGGGTACCATTCCGAGCAACCATGGTTCACTTCTGACCCTGCCTTCAGCCCCTTCCCTTTCTACCCCCACCTCCCACAAACCAGAGCTCCAATCTGGGTTGGGTAGCTTGTGAACATTATAGACAAACCATATGGTGGCCAAACCTGGATGGATGAAGTAATGCTACTCCTGGCTGAGGGACAGGAGGCCTCCTCCAGCAGTCTCTTCCCCCGGGCTACCCCAGACCCACCTCAAAGGAAAGGACCCTGCTATATCTGGCTGAGGTCCACCTGAGCCTGCGTCCTGCTTCCTACTTCTTCCTTGGAGTAGCTGTTACTTCCTGGTTGCTAGGCGGTGATGTCAAGGCTGAGTGATGAGGTCACAAGGGAGGGAGGACATCATGGAACTGGCAGGTGTCAGCCAAAGGTCCCTTGGTCTCCTGGCTCTTGCAGGTGTGTTGCTAGCAGAAGTTGCTCGATCACTTGGAAGAATCTGGAAAACGCCACTTTGGAGGGAATCTTGAAGGCATCTCTTGATCTTCAGATAGGTTGGGACATCAATGCCCTCCTTCCCTTTTGGCAGGCAAAGGCTACCATGAATATTTTGGAGAAAAAGGCACAACAGCAGCTTAAGACATGACCCACCCAAGAGGGAAAACCAGACATTTGAGGGCGAAAGGAATCAACTGCTTTGATTATGGTGATGGTACCCAGAGCATCTATAGCATCTCCTGTGGTGGCTGTGACTCCAGGGTGCCCTCCGATGCTTCAAAGGTCGAACAAAGGCCCATAAAGTCTCCTGGCGGCTCCTCTTCCCTAGGGAGCCCCAGAAGCTTGCAAGGCAGATGAGCCAAGCTAGGTCAGTGCTTGGGCTGGGACAGCCTAGCCAAGACCCTCACCTGACGTGACCCATCACAAGACCGACCACAAGACCTCACCTGACATGACCCGCACCTGGCGTGACCTTCCCATCACAAGACCTACTGAGCACACAAAGCCCTTATAAGGAGAAGGACACCAACATGGAAATCCCCTATACTCCGCCAGTAGCCAGGAGGCAACTGGGCTTCCTTGTTTTTCTTTGAACACATTTCTCTTCTCTTCCAAGAAGCTTCTTCAGCTCTGACTGAATGGCGGGGAATGTAAGGATTTATACTCCTTGCAGACAGCTGGTCCTTTGCATCCTTTTAGAGGGCCATTGTGGCCAATTGGAGGTTTATCTGTAGTCCTCAGGATCACCTGAGTGGTGCAAATGGTTCCTGTAGTCTGCACTTTTTTTCCTCTGGATTATCTATTCCTACTCCCACATTCAAGTGCTTCAACAACCCTCTACATTGTACATTGCTCTACAAGGATGCAAATGACCAGCTGTCTGCAAGGAGTATAAATATCCTAATATCCTAATGTTCAACCGAAATGTTGGAGATGTGATTGCTTAGATGCTACATATTATCATATATGGTGGACATGCAAGAAAGCAAAGGCTTTTTGGATAAAAAATTGGTGGGTTATGCAAAATGTTTTGAAGAAAAAAATTCAAATTTCTCCTCAATTGTTTTTATTGGGTATAGTTAAGGGTTTTTCAATGGGTGAAACAAAATTGATATTGTATATGGTGACAGCAGCTAGGTTACTGATTGGTCAATATTAGAAAAGGGATGATATGCCTACAATTCAAGAATGGACTTTGAAGATGGCCAGTTTTGTAGAAATGGCGAAGATATCAGCATACTTAAAAGACCGGACTCAGGAGACTTATGCATGGGAGTGGAAGAAATGGATAGATTATGTGCAGAATAAATATCAAACTAGGAAGTATCAGATAGCTTTTAGCTGAATGTTGTGTAGAAATGTATAGTTTATAGGGGGCAAAATAGCTTATTGTTATGTAGAAATGTATAGTGCACAGGGGGGAGAATAGAGGGGTGGTAAAGTATGATATGATATAATGTGGGTGGATGGATTTCACCTTGGGGAAGTCATGGGAAGAGGGGAGGGTTTGGGGGGGTTAGGGAGGGATGGGGGGAATGGGGGAAAAATTGATATTTGTAAAACTTTTTCAATAAAAAAAAAGAGAAGGGAAACATCTTCAAAAGAAAGAAAGAAAAAGTCCAATTGCCTGAAAAATCCCCTTTGTATTTACGAGACTTCTGCCGCCAGTAGCCTCCCACCGACCAGTACGCTCCCACAGAGAGGGGCTCCTCAGGGTTCCGTCGGCCAAACAATGTCGGCTGGCGACCCCCAGGGGGAGAGCCTTCTCTGTGGGGGCACCTGTCCTCTGGAATGAATTGCCCCCGGAGATATGGATGGTCCCTGACCTACGCGCCTTTCACCGTGCCCTCAAGACATTTTTGTTTCATCAAGCCGGGCTGACCTGACCATACTTTTTAAATTGCTTTAATTTTAAATTGCTAAATTATGGGTTTTAATATGGGGGTGTTTCAACTGAGGGCCAAATTAATTTAATTTAAGAGCCTTGGTAGTACAGGGGCTTAAGGCACCCTGTTATTAAGCTTATTAAGACCAGCTGCCTGCAATTACTGCAGGGTTCGAATCTCGCCAAGGCTCAAGGTTGACTCAGCCTTCCATCCTTTCTAAGGTAGGTGAAATGAGGACCCAGTTTGTGGGGGCAATAAGCTGACTTTGTATAAATATACAAAAGGATGAAGGCTATTGCTGAGCACATTGTAAGCCGCCCTGAGTCTTCGGAGAAGGGCGGCATATAAATCAAATTAAAAAAAAATAAATTGGTTTTTAATATTGTTTTAATTTTTGTATTTTCTGTATTTTATCTGCTGGCTGTTCACCGCCCCGAGTCCTTCGGGAGAAGGGCGGTATATAAATATAATAAACAAACAATAATAATAAACAAACCGTGACATAGATGAGAATCTCTACAGACTTTTAGCTATACAATTTGGGATGAAGACCCTTTGAATGGTGTGGGAGTAGGAGTAGGAGTAGGAGTAGGAGTAGGAGTGGGAGTAGGAAAGGATTTCCAGAGGAAAAATTGCAGACTACAGGAACCATTTGCACCACTCAGGTGCAGAAAAACCTCCAAGTGGCCACAACGACCCTCTAAAAGGATGGAAATGACCAGCTGTCTGCAAGGAATATAAACCCTTCCCTTCCCTACCATCCAGTCAGAGCAAAAGAAGCTTCTTGGATGAGAAGTGAAACATCTTCAAAAGAAAGAAAGTAACAGTCCAATTGCCTCCTGGAAAAGCCCCTTTGGGACAGCCATGACCTGGATGACTGAGAATCTCTACAGACATTACGTAGCCTGGTAACGCAACGTTCAGAAGCTCAGATCGTCCATCCTCATCCTCCACCAGAGCTACTTATCTTCCCCACTATCGCAAACTAGCCAGCCTTGCCAAGCTGAATAGAAGTGGGGAGAAGTCGTGGTGTGCAGTCCCTCAGGGCTACAAGCCCATGGCACTCGGCCAGGGCTTCCTGCTGACTTCAGGAACGGAAGCTGGGAAGAGCTGGTCTGCTTTCAACACCGCGGTGCTTTCAAACAAAACCTTCAGGATGTTTACAAGGAGAAGCTGCAGTCTGCCTCCCCCTCTCCTGCGGTGGGTGACTTTCTCCATCCCAGGCATCCTTGGGCTCCAGCAGGTGCTTTGTGGCTGTGTCCCAAGCAGCTGTGAGAGCACGACACAATTTAAGGCTCAGCATTCAGAGCTCTGCAGCTCACAAAGTGCATTCCAGCTTAGATTTGTGGTTGTGAGTAAGCCCACAGCTGCTTTGTAGACTGGGTGGTGATCCAAGGTGAAATTGGCAATTTCTGGGTTTCTCCAACTTTCACTTTGCAGCAAGAAGATGCAGAGCCAGGTAGAAGAAAGAAGGAAGATGGTTGGAAGAAGCAGCAGTTCTCAAGTTGGCAGCTTGAAGATGGGTGGACTTCAACTCCCAGAATTCCCCAGCCAGCGCATGGGAATTGTAGTCCACTCATCTTCAAGATGAACACTGAATCGTAGGCTTTCAAATGTGAAATATGGAAACTTATAAGACAACTCTGTGACTTCATGTGCCTGATGGGTCTCACCAAATAAGTAAAAAATCTACTGGAGACATTCACTCAACACATTGACCTTGGTTAGGGTGAATCTTGGTTAGTGTTTTATGACTTATGGTGTCAGCCCTACTAAGTTTAATTGTCCGTGTTTGGGTAAAGCCACAAAAATGGATGAACAGTTAAGCGGAGATATGAATCCAGTCAACAGATCTTGAGGCCAAGAGTTGAAAGAGCTACAATAGTAAAGGAGTGGCACACAGGTGTCACTCAAGGATTATCCAGCAGGCAATGGACCAAAAAGAAATATTAAAGGTGATTTGGGGTTATTATGTTGTTTTGGTTTTTTGAACATCTCACTTAGTTGTTGTTTTTGCTTTAGAGTTCAGTGGTTTGTGCCAACTCAGAAATGAGTGAGGTCAATCCCCAAAATGTTGTGTAAATGCAAGTGACAGAATCACAGCGTTGGAAGGGACCTTGGAGGTCTTCTAGTCCAACCCTCTGCCCAAGATCGGAGACCTTATACCTCCCCATATAAATGATTGGACAATCTTTTCTTGAGAACTTCCAGTGTTGGAGCACTCACAACTTCTGGAGACAAGGCGTTCCACCGATTGATTGTTCTCACCCTCGAGAAATTTCTTCTTAGTTCTAGGTTGGTGATCTAATGATTTTCCATCCATTACTTGTCCTGCCTTCAGGTGCTTTGGAGAATAAATTGACCCACCTCTTCCCTGTGACAGCCCCCTCAAGTATTGGAAAGGAGGAAGGAAGGAGTCATAGGCCTGGAAGGGACCTTGGAGGTCTTCTAATCCAACCCCTGCCCAACCATCCTGGACAAATGGTTGCCCTGTCTTTTCTTGAAAACCTCCAGTGATGGAGCACCCACAACTACAAAAGGCAAGCTGTTCCACTGATCAATCATTCTCACTGTCAGGAAATTCCTCCTTATCTCCAGGTTGATCTCCCTCTGAGGAGTTTCCACCGGTTGCTTCTTGTGCTACCCTCACTTGCTTCATCTTCAATGAACATAGGTGTCAACCCTGAAGCTGACCTGACCGAAGCCATCTTGGAGCTTCGGTGTTGCCCCACTGGAGCTGAGGGATAGGGAGGGGGGAATAGAGATAGCTGGGGTTTTGTAGCCAAAACAAAATTCTTTCTCTTGAGAACCAAGGACATTCCCGCACCTGGCCAGAGAGAGGAGGAGCAACGTTACCAGGCAACCAGATGGCAAACTGATTGGACCATGTGATTGATCATGTGGGGAAGGAGAAAAACTTTTACTTTTAATTAGGTGAAAACCATGGGAATC